TTACTATTTGTATTAAACAGGAAAATCATATATATATATATATATATATATATATATATATATATAAAACTGTATATTTGAAAAAAAAATTAGTCTAAATGTAGCAATTTGGAGAGCACAAAGTTAGAAGTAAAATCACTGGAAATGGTAGCGCCCAAATATATAAAACGTAGCTACATTATACCAAAGTGTCATTAGTTAAATATCATCTGAATATTACAATTGAATTATCTATTGTTCATTGCTGCAAAGGTTACACTGAAACAAGGTATATTCTGCTTAGATTCCACTGTCAGGATTTCTATACATCTATATTATATAAGATTTGTGTATGCCAAGAGCACATTCGCTCGCTCCCCCCCCCCCCCCCCCTTTCCTGACCTGTGGTGCTGCATGCTTGGATGAGGGTGTGGTATGGATTTTGGGAGAGACCCCCACACCATTTTTAAAAAAAATTTGGCATAGGGGTTCCCATCAAAATCCATATCAGACCCGAAGGGCTTGGTATGAATGGGGGGACCCCACACCTTTTTTTTTTTTTTTTTTTTAATTCCTGGCAATTCTGTTTACATTCAGCTGTCAGTGGGGAACCCCGCTGACAGCTGAAACATGAAAGAATGTTTTCACTACTAAAATACCGCATGACTTAATAAAATAATATAACTCATGCAGTATTTTATTAGCTGTGCGGTACCTTACCACATACTCAAACACAGTAAGATACTGCTTAGTGAATTGTCTCCTTTGTACAAAGTTTGCAGTCGAACTTTCATTAGGTTCGAATGTTTGACCACAAACCGAACGGGGGGGGGGGGGGGGGGGGGGGGGGGGGTGGGGGGTGGGTGTGTTTGGCCATCACTACCAAGAAAGGCTTAAAGTACAGCTCATTATTTCATGTTACTTTAAATAGTTTGTCTGAGACATGTTGACTAGTTCACTTTCAATAATTTGTTTTCTACTAGATAACTCCAAGGTACAGAAAATATGCAATTGTGATTTATACACAGTTGCCAGGACAGTGAGAATCAGTGCTAGAACATCCTGTTTGGGCATTACAAAAGCCTGCAGACATATGGAACTTGAAGCCACAGATATAGGATTGATTTGTAAGCACCTTTTGAAAAGAATTTGAACAGGAAAAGTATTGATCCAAAACATACCAGTGATGTAAGTGGGAGGCATACTTCAAAGGAAAAGAAAAAAATGAAGGTAGAGAGGCCTCCAGAGAAGGAGAATGGAGGAGAATGTAGTAGGAGAAAGTTACAGTAGTGTGCGAAGGGTGCACAGGAAAAGATGAGGGAAAAGGAAATGAGAGCAAGAGGAAGGGTTGGGGACAAAGGGTGGGATGGGAAATTTAAACTGTTCTTCCCCCTACAAAGCAGAGTAACTTTTACTGGCATTATGGGGTTGGCTTATTGTATCCAAGGGGGCCATACTGTGCATTTGTTGTGAGTATCTAGGACTATGGTAATTTTTTTGTTAATAAAGAACATAGGGATGCACTGCTGAACGTCTGTGAAATGGGTGAATTGTTTTTCCAGGCTTTTGCTATGGTCTGTTTTGCCACTAATAAAACATAGGTTGTGGATTTAAACTGTATTTTAGTGAGGACTAGAGGTTTGAGATGAAGTAAAGTAAACCAAGAGTCTCCTAGAAGGGGACAGTGGAAACATTTTGTAAAAGCTTGAGGACTTTGGGACAAAACCTTGTGGACATGGGGCAGGTCCACCAAATGTGTAAAATCTGTAACATCCCACGAGACAGCACAACCACAAAAGCAATCATCTGAGATGGGACAATGTACAATCATACAACAGTCGTGAACGCATATTTCACTGAATTTATTTATGGCGCAGGAAGCAATTGAAAACCAGATTTGTAACCAGTCTTCTCTAGCTTTAGTGCCTGGGAGCTCTGTTTTCTATTTAGAAACACAAGTGTGATTCATAGGGTTGCTGGAATTAGTTAATTGTGAACAATGGATATCAGCCTGGGAGAGAGACCACCTGATAGCAGGTATGTTCAAAAAGTGTGAGTTGAGTTGTAAAGTCTTTATTGGTAAGTATGGAGATGAGCCAATGTTTTACTTGCATGAAACAGAAGAGATCAGATGATGGTACTTGATATTTGTCTTTAAGGTCCACCCAGGAGTATATAGTGCGGTCATTATAAAAGGTGTAAACATAATGGAATTTAAGGAAGTGCTGTCAATGGAAGGTACTAGGTGATTATAGGACGGGAAGGAACAGTGCATTGCCCAAAAGAGGTTGCAGGGGCAGATGAGGTGAGATGAGTTTACTAAAGTATTTGGTCATGTGCCAGACTCATAATGTGTACTGCATTACAGGGCTCATGGAAGCAGGCCTAGATTTAGTTGGGAGCCAGGGGAGTGAATGGGGAGATACTAGAGAGCAGCAATATGCTTCTAAGTCTACCAACAGAGGGGCCTGCTTTGATACAAATACATAGGTCAGTGGTGTAACTTGGGCAGCTGTAAAGTATTTGGAGAGATTAGGGACTCCAAGTCCCCCTTGTCACTTATAAATGAGCATGTCATAGTAAGAAATGTGGGGTTGTTTATTGGACAAAACAAATCCTAACACGTAGTTGTGAAAGGATTTCATGGTGTAGGATGGGATTGGAATTGGAAAAGTGCAAAACAGAGAAGAGAGAAGTTTTAGTAGGATAGTCATTTTGACAACTTTAATTTTCCCCATCCAGGATGAACTGAGGTGGGCCCAGAAGGAAATAAAGAATTTCAGTTATTGAAAAGTTGGAGTACAATTGGCTTAGTATAAAGTATGTTACAAGCAGGTAAGGCGAATTCCCACATAGTCCAAGTGGGAGGTGGGCCAAGCAAAGTTATTATTTTGTTTTAGAGAAGCCACTGCAGTATTTGGAAGAGAAATATTAAGGGCAAGGATTTGTTCTCATTAATGGTAAGGTTAGATATTTTAGAGAATTGTTTGAGAGTGGAAAACAGGAAGGGTAAAGTTGTGTGCGGTTTGATTAAAATTAATAGTAGATCATCAGCAAAAAGGCTTATTTTAAAGAGCTTAGGACCAAGTTCAATACCTGGAATGTCCAAATTGGACCTGTTGAAACAAGCTAAAGGCTCTAGGGCCAGTATTAGCAGGATAGGGGGGAAGGGAAACCCTTGTCAAGTACCTCTGTGAATTGTGAATGATGTGGATCGATAGGTGAGGTACTGTACTGTGGTGGAAGGCTAGTGGTCAAATGCTTTTAATCAGGAGAGGAAGTGGATTTGGAAGCCCCAGATTTCCAGGGCATAGTACATGTAATCCCAGGACAGACAGCTGAATACCTTATGTATATCCAGCCCAAGTAACTGGCTAGGGATTTGTTTTTCATGTACTAGGTGAATTACATGGATGATTTGTGAATTAGTGTATTAAAAAGGATTAGGTGTAATTACAAGAATACTGGCCATTTTGATATCTGCATATGCGGTCTGAAATTATAAGGATCTAGGGTGTCTTTGGTTTCAGAAGCATCACTATGTGGGCTTATAGGGAGAAAGAATGTAAATCTGGATGGGTATGTAAATATTAGCCAGATGCGAGAAAGCTTATCAGATAAATTTACATACTATAAAGCAGAGAAGCCACCAAGGCCTAGAGGTTTTTGCATTTTAAGAGATCTGATTGCCCTGAGGACCTCTGCTAAACTAACTTTTTCTTACAGAACAATGCTGCCACTGGGTGTGCTGTAATGGACTATAGTAGCATTAGCCACATACAGTAAGCGGCTGTGTGTTCAGGCAACAGTATGGGTGACTTCCCATCTGCTGATGGGTACAAAGAACGTTGGACTTTGTGCTTCTGCACCATTCAGGAGAAGCCTAGTACTTTTATCAAGGAATACAAAGCTTCCTCTGATTGGTCAAGATAGACATTGTGATGTGATCCACCTGCCTCTTGCCTCTATTGCTTCTGGAACACATTGCAACTTACCATATAGAGCTAATGCTACTACAGTCCAATACAGCAAACCCAGCAGACACAAGTTTCTGTAATGAAATAGTTAATTTGGCCCAATCAAACTCTTTAATGTGACATTAAATATGGAATTCTAAATGTCACTAGTGAGCAAAGTTTGTATATTTGAAAGGTAAAATCCATAGATACAGACAAAAATATAGGCACAGCAAGGGGATCACCAGTATAGATGACAAGACAACACACTTTTTCCACTTTCTGTGGCAGATGTATGCTTGATGTTTTTATATCCTCTGTTGATGTGGTGTTCTGCAAAGGATTTATATACACAGGTACCAGGCTTGATCATAGGGAATATCATTGGTGCTGGAAGAATGTGCCAAGCTAGTGGTCAGCTAGCTCTGTATGACTGTGCCTGATGCATGCAGATCTAGAGTACAGGCTACTGCAACCAGATATGCGATAAATATCCCAAGCACAGGCTTTTGGAAAATGGAATAGCGGAGATCTTCCTGTATTATATTTTGGGAGTTTGTTGGGAGGGTAGTGGCAAAGCCAGTTAAGACTGAAAGTTCAAACACTGATGAGAGCAGAGGTCAAATAGCCAAATTTACACTGAAGGCACAATTACCCCGTAACCAGAATAACATTAGATTCCAGAATTCTCCCATGTGTTCTTATGAGCTGAACAGCAGCCCAGGTTACTCGGATCATGCTGTGCAGCATCTCTATTTAGGACAAGGGTTGAGCATATCTGAACACCATAGCCACAAAACCATATAATTTGTGCTACAATAAAAAAATTACCAGTACTGGGATGGCCTACACAGTTATGTCTGACATCCCTTTATACATTTCAAAGTAAGCTTTCCCTTTCTGCTGAAGTTAACGCCTTACCTTTGACATCTAAAACTAGATTTGGCTTTGATCGACTGTGGATCCTGCCTTCAGGACTGATACTCCAAAGAGCTGGTGAGGTGCCAGGTTCATCCAGGCTGAAGCCAAGTTTGCTGCCGGCGGTGATCAGGATCTCCAAACCCAGCACTGGGCCATACTGCAGTCTTCATGATGCAATCTGCAGGTTCCAAATAATTCAAATTACTATAATTTACACAAAATGTATTCTTAACAAAAGAAGCATGTATTACATAGGAAACATATATAAGATCATTATGTACTAGACTAGCCACATTTAAAAGTCATTATATAGACAGAAATCCTACAGGGCCAAATCAGTGCACCAAAAATGAATACAAAGCTTTTGACTTTTAACGATGATTGGCATTTCGACAGATGTTTGATATATCAGATCTACTTTTTCCTGATGGCAATAAAGCAAAACAAACACCAAAAACATTACCCCACGTATGTACCTAGGATGAATCTCATACATCCTAGTCATACAGACTATCCTAATGGATGCACACCTCTAGGTAATTTGCTATCAGAACCTGTTAGTTTGACAGCCAAAGTCCTGATCTGTGAAGAACTGCTGTCAGTGGTCTATACTGCTATAAAGATGTTTCAGAGCGCCAGTTTAAAAGGATACAAACATTAATACAATGTAACAGCAGCAGATGTCAAAACCTGCTATTTACAATCTTTTTTTTAAATACAGAATGAATACAGAATGGATGACAACCTGGGAGCAGAAGAGTTTAGTTTTGTTGACAAATAAAAAAAATACAACTGTTCTTTTTTTTTTTTTTTTTTTTTTTAAACAGTGTGAACGCTGAGACTCTTAAGACAACTTGCATTAATAAAAATATAAAGTACTAATATAATTCTGAGCTATTTATCATAACACTATAATTATTATTTTCAAACCCTTAAAACAAAGCTAAAACCTCAAATCATATATATCTTATGAAAACGGGATCTGTAGAATAAAAACTATGATAGTTGTAATGTTTTCTTGTTGCACAATAGCACCATTGTATATGAAATCTACTTCATATTTTCAGTATAAAAAAAAAACAAAACAAAAAAAAACTTAAAATTTTAGTGCTCACAAACACAATAAAATATAAACATTTTTTGAAGAGTCAAGAAAATACATCAAGATTTAACATAGCAAAGCAACGCTTTAAAAACCTGGAAGCGTTTTTCCAGCAGAAAAAAAAACAATGAACAGTCCTAAATGCTTATAAATGCTACTAAAACGCTCCTAACAGCTTTTTTTCCCTTCATTCACTGTAAAAACGCTAATAAAATGCTAACTCTCCTAAACTTCTTAAACTTCTTTGCAGCGAAGTGGGTACCTGTCAAGTTTGGGTACCCTTCCCCCACCCCCCAAAGGTGCTAATCCATAACAGGAAGCGGGAAACAGAGGCTTAAAGTGGAAGCTCCATTTGTGTGAAAAAAAATGATAAAAATTTCATATGGTCACAGTGTTGCATGACTGCGCAATTGTCGTTCAAAGCGCAACAGTGTTGACAGCTGAAAATTGGCCTGGACAGGAAGGGGGTATTATTGCCCAGTAGACAAGTGGTTAAATAACTCCTGAAAGATACTACCACAAAAAGTATGCTTTAATCATCATCTCATTTATGGCCACCCCTAATTATACTAAAAGTCTAAAATCTAAAGGTGGCCACTGTGGAACAGATCTCTCACAAAGCAAAAAGAAATAGCAAGTACTGAGCAAGGTTCATAAACAGTCCATAGAATACCTTAAGCGGTTATAGTAGTAGGGCTCAGATTATGAATTTCTAATGCTTATGGGTACATTTAAAAGGATTACAAAAGCCAACAAGGAATTCTAAAGTGTAATCTAGGCTGATCTTTATCTGCTTGCTCTGTTTTGGATCAGTGATGTTCCTCTGTTTTCCTGGATACAAACAGTTGTGGGAGCTAACAGATCTGTTTACCAGCATATTAATAGTGTATTCTGCTAAAAAAAGAATTCTGCCTTTGCCAGGAACCACATTATATAATGGAACACAGTGGAGTCTTTTACAAGTAGCAGAATTTCCAGAACTATAGCATTTTTTTTATCTGCCAACTCATTGACACACATTGCAAAATACATTAAATGCAATACCAACGTCAGCCTAGGGGCGGACTGATAACTCATGGGGCCCCCGGGCAATAGGGGATCATGGGGCCCCTGTGTCCTCACCCACACCCAAAATAGCCTATGAAAAAGGTACCAGGGGCATGTCATGGGGCCCCCTACTGACCCAGGGCCCTCGGGCAGTGCCCGAGTTCACAAATGGTCAGTCCGCCCCTGCGTCAGCCTACAGAAAATCATTTGCGCAGATTAAACCAGTTTAACCCTGTTGCTGCCAGAGCAGTTTTGCACAAAAATGCACATTAAAATGTGTTAAAAAAACACATTTTAGGCCTGAAGATTAGTTTAAGCCCTCAAGCATTATTTATTTTCTAAGAGCAGGGACCCTAGAGAAAACTTTTTTTTGTAATTGCATTTTGTAGGTCACATTATATTAGCACAGTGGTTTATCAAATGCATATTTTCTGTAAAAATACACTATTATTTTTTAGTGCACACAAACCCAAAATATTACCCACTTTTTGGTAAAATATAAAGATGGGGTTGTGTCAAGTGAATGGATAACCAATATGTCAACCTTAAAATTAAGCATTCCTGTGAAACAGGAGCAAACCTTAATATTCAAATTTGTCCACAGGTGATGCTTGAAAAGCCCTTACAGGTTACCAGTGAGTTAACAGTGAATAATGGCCCTAGAACTATTGATGTGTGTGTGTGGCCGAGAATTGGCGGCTCTGAACCAGGAAGTGACGCAATATACATTGCTTCCTGGCTTACTGATCAAAGGGAAGATCAGTAAACATCTAGCCAGTGACACTCATTATGCCAGTCTCGACCCTGCAGGTGGCACAGTGGAACCTGGCAGGGAAACGGAAGGGGGTGTCATGCGAGGGAAGTGGTATCATTCAATGCTTGTGGAAGTGATCAGGCAGCTGTAAAAACCTGAATAACCAAATACCAGACAGACAACATTCAGTGTGTAAAGCACACATACATACTTCCAGCTGCTGTAGAAGCCAGGAGTGTATGTAAAATCAACTGCTGCCACCAGCGTAAGCCTTATGTTGCGAAAGGGTTAAAGTGTATGCAAAGCCAACATCCTTTTTTAAGTGTTGAATAGAATAGAGAAGGGTATTTAGCAGTTTATATTTACTAAAATAATTGCATTTCTGTGTAGAGTGTACTGTGGGAGACCAGATAGAGTGAATGCAGGGTCCTGGTTTTAGAAACACTGCAATGCATTCTATGCATTAAGGTAAAGAACCTTCTGGGTGCAGCTTCCCCCTCAGCCCCCTAAAACTTACCTGAGCCCCATCTCAATCCAGCAATGTGCATGGGAGCAGTGGCTCCCTCAGGTCTCTCTTTCCTCATTGGCTCACTGGCCAATGGCCCCTGCTGCTGTCAATCACAGCCAATAAGGAGAGAGCAGGGTGTGTGAATGAACAGTGTATTCACAGGAGCATGGTTCAGGGGCGAGACTGCTCGAGTGCCCCCATAGCAAGAGACTTGCTATTAGCAGCACTTGGTGGTGGTGGTGGTGGTGGTGGTGGGGGGGCGGTTGTGCAGCTAAGCATTTTTTATTATTACAAACTTTAGAATCACTTCAATTAATTTTACAGTGTAATACATTTAATGTGGATGTGCATCCTTTTTAATGATTTGTAGTGTCTATGCACAGCAGTGTTAATAGTTTAGAACAGTAAGGAGGGTTTAGCTTCAGAGACTGATATTTAATAGAAAGCAACAAAACAATCAAGTTTGCCTATGCTGGTTTGAGACAAAATGTCTTCCCTATTAAAAAAAAATAATTTAGTCTCTTTATTAAAGCAGCTCCAAATCTATCCAAGTACAGAATATTATTTACACATTGTGCATGTATAAAAGACTCACGCGACATCTAATGACTCCTTTTTGATAAACCCAGATCTGATCTTCAGACCCGTTATCTTCCATGACCTGTATCCTTAGAAGTTTGACATCGTCCAAGTTTCCATTTGTTGACATCATCATTCCACTGTCCTTATTTCGAAGCTTAAAGTACAATCGTTTCTGTTCAGAAAAGTAAATGCAAAATGTAAATGTTACAGGTCACTGTATCAAGCTATAGCTTACCAAGAGAATAATAAATACTTCATGTATAAATAGAAAATGACAGTGCACCTATCATTTAAGGTTTAATTAACCTAACCTTAAAGTAGTTAATTGTACTGCAACACAGTATACGGGTATAGGAGAATGTCCATCTGTGAAGAAACCATTGAGCTTGGCTTTGCTCACGAAAACGCTAATGTGACCAATGCAAGATAGCAGATGTAAACCCTACCTGAATGACATTTACTTTTCTATAGCTCTGTGTATCATAAAAAAAGTACCTTTTCTAAAACAAAATACTTGTTTTTACTTTTTCCTTATCCTTTGTTGCATCTCAGTGCTGCTGATATCCTGCAGCCAGATTCTGTATATATGTATGCACTCCAGCAATGGGTGCATGGCATTTTACAAGGTAAAAGATGCGCAGAAGCACAACTTAGAGACAGGAACAGATTGTAGTCATCCTATAACAGGAACAGCCTGAACAAAGACCTTCATGGCAGGATCGGCAGGTAATGTTTTAAAAAAAAGCTGCAAATTTAAATATACTGAAAATTACTTTAACATGTTAAAGTTTGTATGAGATTTTAGTTATTGGGTTTACATATACTTTAATCACAAGATTCCCAATGAAGCATGATTTTCCCAATCAGGAGCTTTGCCTGAACTGTGATCCTCCAACTTGGCAGAAACCACATCCTGCCAGTAACGGAACGCCAAAAGCAAGTTGCTTTACAAATGGCATCTGACATTCTCCTTTACACTCACCTGAAATACCCAACTTATGCAAAAATAATTTCATTTATTAGATCCTAGTAGTACTTCTGACTTTTTTTTTGTCAGAAAAAGATTTGAGACAAAGGTCAAATTAACAAACAAAAGACTAAACGTTCTAGTTCTTCACAATACAGTTTATGAAAACAACTCAAGACATATAATCAGCACAGTAACAAGGTCTAACAGTTATCCTTAAAATTGTACAAGAAAATAAAAGCAAAAATGATTTCTGCAATTCTTACTCTAGGTACATTGTATGAAATGTCAGCCAAACAGCTTATCCATAACCAGGTCTATCGCTGCAAGGTCTGGAACATCCAATCAGCTACTCCACACTCTATTAAACTTGGTTGTGCATCCCTGATGCTGAAAGATAACTTGCTCATAGAGTAAAGACCAAATACTCCACCAACTCTTTGAGAGTGGGAGGGGAGGAACTTTTCCAGTGTAACAGTATAATTTTACAGGCCTGAACCATGGGCTCTGGAGATGGTCTCCCCTGTAAACTGATCTGTCACCACATTATCAATAATACCCAAAATACAACGTTTAGGATCTGGAGTGAGATTAGTAGTGAATACTTGTCTAATGGTATTGAGTACTTCCTCCCAGTACCTGTGTAGCTTTGGGCAAGGACAGATTGGGTTTAGCGAACCTCTGGGATTCTAGACCTTCTGGAAGAGAGGTTGACTGCAGTGTAGGACTAATGCAGGCCATAGATGGGGAGAAAAACTGCAGATTTTTCTTTTAAAAAACGAAAAATCGGTTGTTCAAGTGGCCGACGTTACCATCAATGGTAAAAAAAAAAAAAATCGACCGATTTTCTACCCGTCTAGAGCCGGCAAAAAGTGTCCCTGCAGAGAGCTCTGCTATTTCTTTGACAGTTCTCTGACAGTTCCTTGACATTTATAGAAGTTGCAACAATGTATCTATTTGTTTCCATTTAGGATACAGATGTTTTTATTCGGAAACAAATAGATACAATGTTTCAACCGCTGTAAATGTCAAGGAACTGTCAGAGAACTGTCAGAAATAGCGGAGCTCTCTGCAGAGACACTTTTTGCTGGACTGGAATTCTTCTTATTTTCATCCTACTTCTTCTTCTTCTTCTTCTTCATCCTCTTCTTCTTCTTCATCCTCATCCTCTTCTTCTTCATCCTCCTCATCCTCTTCTTCTTCTTCATCCTCATCCTCTTCTTCTTCATCCTCATCCTCTTCTTCATCCTCATCCTCTTCTTCATCCTCATCCTCTTCTTCATCCTCATCCTCTTCTTCATCCTCATCCTCATCCTCTTCTTCATCCTCTTCTTCTTCTTCATCCTCTTCTTCTTCTTCTTCATCCTCTTCTTCATCGTCTTCCTCTTCTTCTTTTTGTCTTCCTCTTGCAGGTCACTGCTCATGCGCAGATTTTTTATCGGTAAAAAATCGGCCGATTTGCCCACTAATTGCCGCGAAAATCGGCCGATCGGCAAAATCGGCCGATTTTTTTCCAACTTTACCGAAAAAAAAAAACCGGCCAAAATACCGAAAAACGGCCGACCAAATCGCCCACTAACGATCCGAAAATCGGCCGATTTTATTTTCGGCCGAAAAATCGGCCGATTTTCGACCCATCTATGGCCTGCATAAGGATAGGGATGAATCTGGAAGTTCCCGTACGCCCCCTACATTCTGAGACATGCCTGGCAATAAATGTTGCAGCTGTGACCTCTGACATTTTTGATGAACTAGTTTACTAAAATAGAACTCAGTCCAAGAACATAATATATAAACGAACCAGCATTTGGCTATTAGAAATACTTTAAAATCAGCAGACATTTGTACTGAAAATGAATCCGTTAGGCTTCATCAGTTCTGTCTGTAAATACCTGTCGAAGAGGATGCAGTGATCCAATTCTATTCCAGCCACTAAACTGCTGCCACTGTGCAATTTTACTAGGTGAAATTAACAGTTGTCGACCTCTGTAATTAGTGTATTCGTAAAACACCCATCTGAAAGGAGAAATGTTTACATTATGACAAGGCATTAAAGAATTTGTGAACGTTTACCTTAATACCAAAATAACCCAGTATGTTTAAAATAGGAATGAAAAGTAAAACATTCATGTATAGATATAAAAAACACTTTATAATATATATATATATATATATATATATACACACATATATATATATATATATATATATATATATATATATACACATACCTTTTTTTTTCTTTTGTTATAAGTGATCATATAATCTCTATTCTCAGCTGCATAAGGAGCTCAGTGAGCTGGGGGAAGAGAACCAGCAGTACAATGAGCTTGCCAATGAATGGCCGTGCAGGGGGGATATGTCAGCACAAGTCTGACCATTGGAGGAAAAGCAGGCTGTTATCCCAGCACAGCCAGAAATCTGACCACACTAGACTGAATGTGCTTTCATGCATTTTGTGGTAAGTTTGAATTAGGAAAGTTGGAGGACTGGCAGGATCACTCGGTATTTCATGCAAAAGGAAGCAACACAAAGATTATTATTATTATTATTACTACGAGTTTATATAGCGCCAAAGGGTTTGCTCAGCGCTGTACAATAGGGGGGGACAATACATGGCACAGTACAACAAAGACAGACAGCGTACGAGGGGTAAGAGGGCCCTACTCTTCCGAGCTTACAATCTAGGAGGGAGGGGGTAAAGGTACAGTAGGAAGTGGCTGGGGGGGATGAAGTGGTAGGAGGAATGAGGGAGGATGGCCGTTAGGTGAGGGTGGGGTAGGCTTCCCTGAAGAGATGGGTTTTGAGGGGGCGCCTGAATGTGAATAGAGAAGGCGACAGTCTGATGGATTGGGGCAGTGAGTTCCAGAGGATGGGGGAGGACCTGGAGAAGTCCTGCAGTCGTGCATGGGAGGAGGAGACCAGGGAGCAGGATAGAAGGAGGTCCTGTGAGGAGGAGCGAAGGGTACGGGTAGGGTGGTACCTGGTGATCAGATTGGTGAGGTAGTCAGGGGCAGTGTTGTGAACGGCTTTGTAGGTCAGGGTAAGGAGTTTAAATTTGATGCGTTGGGCAATCGGGAGCCAGTGGAGGGAGAGGCAGAGGGGGGTGGCAGAGGTGGAGCGGGTGGTAAGGTGGATGAGTCTGGCAGCTGAGTTCAGGATGGTCTGGAGCGGGGAGAGCCTGCACTTGGGTAGGCCAGTGAGGAGGGAGTTGCAGTAGTCAAGGCAAGATAACAGACTCCTTTTTAACACATAGTACGACAAAAGCATATCAGGAATATGAAATGTTGGGGGTAACATATTTTCTAAGGCGACATAAAATACACATACAAAATCACTGATACATGTGAAAAAAAAAAAAAAAACATTCATAATGCATGTATTTTCTTCTGTTCAAATACTTCTGTTTCAATTATAGCAATGTCAATGCACCATTACTGAAAACTAAGTTTCAAGTTTTTTCAGTACTGATGCAATGGCATTGCTATCATTCAATCATTTTATGCATCAACCAAAAATTAAATAAGCAGCGAGTGAACATAAACCATTGTCAATAGCAACCCCACTCAAGCAGGGCAAAACAACTAATGTTATATGTTTTACTGTTTTATATAAATGATCCACACAGTGCAAGGAAACATATAAGAACTGTTGGGGAAAGGCACAAGTCCATCCAAATGGAAGGCCTCAGGTTAAAGTAATTTCCAATGGGTGCAGCTTCTTCAAAGCCTCAGGAAATTAGGCATAAGAATCTCTCAGAGCTACAGCAGCTCTATCCTGCTGCTGTCTAGCTTGGCATTAAACCATACTATGGTGAGATGCCTCGCCGTGTTCGAGTTACAGGCCCATCTCACTGTTGAATTTAGACATTAAGATATATGCAAAGGTCCTGGCAAATAGGTTGAAGGAGTTTATGCCTGAATGGATACATGGAGATCAGGTGGGCTTTGTCCCAGGAAGAGAGGGCAGGGACAATGGATTGAGATCCCTGATGCTGATACAGAGAAGTAAAAAAGGGGAGGTACCGGTGGTGGCCCTTTCAATCGACGCAGAAAAGGCCTTTGATAGAGTAGACTGGGGCTTCATGATGGATACCTTAGATGCCCTGGGAATTGGAGTCAGAATGAGGGAATGGATTGGAAAGCTGTACAGTAAGCCCTCCGCAGTGGTAATAGTAAATGGGGAAAAAACAGAGCCCATCGGGATGTCAAATGGAACAAGGCAGGGCTGCCCTCTGTCCCCCTTATTATATGTTATGTCATTAGAGCCTCTTTTATCAACAATAAGGAAAAATGGAGATATAAGGGGAATTCAGATAGGAAATGTAGAACATAAAGTGGCAGCTTTTGCCGATGATCTGCTGTTTTATGTGGGGAACCCCAGGATAACACTCCCAAATCTAATGAAACTGCTGAAGGAATATGGAGAAATATCAAATTTAAAAATCAACCCAACAAAAACTGAGATCTTAAACATAAACATCCCAAAAAGCGAAAAAAAAGAAAAAATACAAAAAGAATTTCCCTTTATTTGGAAAGAAAGAGATATAAAATATTTGGGAGTAAGGCTTCGTGCGGCGTATAAAAACTTGTATAAACTAAACTATATTTCATTATTAAATGAAGTAAAGGGGGGATTAAAAGCGTTAGAGAGAGGATTCCCATCGTGGTTAGGACGTATAAAAACCTGGTAAAAATTATAATTGTACCAAAAATTTTATACAGATTTCAAATGATACAAATCAAACTCCCGGAAGCTTTTTTTAAAGTAATAAAAAGAATGATAACGGGATATATCTGGAGGAAGAAAAAACAGAGGGTGTCTCATGAAATATTAAGTAGAGATAAAGAGAAGGGTGGTCTGGGAGTTCCAGATATAAAGAGATATTACAAAGCAGTAATATTAGGGAGAATTTTTGACTGGACGTTCAATTTAGAGGGGAAAAGTTGGGTAAAATTTGAAAATACACTTAGTGGAACTAATTTGAATAGAATAATATGGCTACCGGCACAATATAGAGGACTGAAGGAGGATTTAAGTTTGTACACTGTAAATGTATTAAGGGAATGGGATAAAATACACAAATATATGAAATGGGAATTTAATTCTATACTAATGCCACTAAGAAACACAGAATTTTTTCCACCAGGTAGAGAAGAGATAACAGGTAGATGGTTTATAAAGGAAGATGTCCAACTCAGAGATATAATGGGGAAAGGGAAATTGAAGACCTTTAAAGAGTTGGAAAAGGAAAAGGGAAATATTTTCACTAGGCTAGATGAGTGGCGTTACTATCAATTAAAATGTTTTTGGGGAAATCTCCCAAAACCCTTGAGAACGAAAAAGGATTGGAATTTGTTTGAAAGGTTGCTGGATACACGGGGTGATGGGAAACATGGAATAGCTAAAATATATGGTATCCTCACAGATTTAGACACAAACACTAAACCAATGCACATAGTGAAATAGGAAAGAGATATGGGGGTGGTATTAGATAAAGGAAAACAGAAAAAAATAAATAGATTAGTTCACGGAAAGGTAAGTTTGAGGGATGTAGAAACAAATTATAAATGTTTGACAAGATGGCACATTGTTCCGAGTGTGGAGTGTAAGATAAGTGGGGAAAAATCACAGTGGTGTTGGCGAGAGTGTGGGGAAGTGGGGACAGTGTATCATATTTGGTGGGAATGTCCAAAGATTTAAATATTCTGGAAAAAAATAGTACATTTAATAGAGAACATTATTGAAATGAACATCGGGTTAGATCCTGGGATGTGCCTGTTACACAGTTGAAAGATATCAGTTAGTAAATATAAGAAATTAGGTTTAGGGTACTATTTGAACGCAGCAAAAAGCCTGATCCCCAAGTATTGGAAGAAAAAAGAAATACCGAAAGAGGAGGAGTGGATAGAAAGAGTAAATTGGACTAGGGAGATGGAAGACATATTATATACAGGAAGATAAGTTGGAGGTATATCTCGCGAAATGGGAAAAATGGGAAAACTTTGTAATAAACGTGAGAAAGTGAAAAGTAGAACGTCATAGAGAATAGATAGATGGGTAGGATATGCTTGCTTTGGATAAAAGATAAGGAAAATGCAGAGTGGGGGGGGGGGGGTTAAGGGGGGGGGGAGGGGTTAATGTTTCAAGAAGGGGGTTAAACGAAGTAATAAGGAATAATTGTATATTTATGATGATTGAGATGAAAATGTTTTTTATCTTTCTTTCTATTTGTTATTACTGTGAAAAACTAATAAATATTTAAATTAAAAAAAAAAAAAAAAAAATAAACCATACTATGGTGTCACCTGGCCATCACCGTATTTTCCAAAGAAATACATGCAGAATACAAAGGCTGCTTTTTAATACTACTAAACAAAGAAACACAGCCCTTTTCACTGGTTAAACAAACTTCCAAGGTAAGATCATACTCACATTCCTCCAAGTACCTCCAGAGACATTAAATCAGGGGAGTAGCCCATCGCCTGCAGGTCTGTAGTTTCTTTGCTAACTTTTACTCTTCTGCCTTTGAAGTTTTCCTTTCCAAAAAGTACTACATTGGGCTCTGAAAATTCCTGTTGAAATAAATGTTATTCTTAGTTCAAAATTCTTTCAGATTATTTCATATTCAAAAAAATTAGATGAAATCACCCGATCCAGCCACTTTTGGTAACCCAAAATACATCAAATGGTAATCATAGTCATGGGTGTAGCCATTCAGTAAGGTGATTACTGATGAAGGAGAAGGTTCAGGCTGTCTGATACTGCTTTTTAGTAGAGGTCATATGACCAGGGGCGGACTGACAACTCATGGGGCCCCCGGTCAATAGGGGATCATGGGGCCCCTGTGTCCTTGCCCAAACTTAAAAAAGCCTATGAAAAAGGTACCCGGGGCATCTCATGAGGCCCCCTACTGACCCCAGGCCCTCGGGCAGTGCCCGAGTTTCCAAATGGTCAGTCCGCCCCTGCATATGACCAAACAGCTAAGCTTTCAATTTCTGGAGCAGCATTTTCTTAATGAAAAATGCATTTTTAATCTTTCTATTAACCTTTCACATAGTGTTATAGGTTATTTCACACCTTACCAATTAAATAGAAGTCAGCTACATCATACCTACCATCCAGTTTCATATATTCGCTCATTGTCAGAAAAAAAAAAAACACAGATGTATATTTACAGAAAGCTGATTTTACAAATGTAGTTCATACTGTATAATAACTCCTCGATCTGTATTTGCCATTATATTTTTGAATTAAAAAGGGCAAAAACAAAGTCAGGAATAAACTAATCTAGGCAAGACACATATTAGGCAAATCAATGACGACAACTGTTGGTGAGAAATCTGCTGGTCATGTGCAGACCTGCTGAATCAAAAAAAACTGCTCCCAAATTTACTAGAATTTAGGAAGTATGGTGACAAAATGGTTCTTCTAATAAGAAAACACACCTGTACACAACAATCAGATCATCTTCAGATAGTCAGAAGTGCTTGTTGTCATTTGGAAGCTAACCAAAAAGTAGTACTAAAATCTGTAGCATCCTGTACAAAATGTAAACCAAGCAGTTTGAATCTATACTGCCCTAGTTATTTGAAATAGTTTACATCCCTATTGTCAGTAGGTCCTGCAACCATAATGGGAGCAGCTGGACACAAGGCCCACCACAACCCCAGCACAGCGTGAGAGGATAATGAATGTATTCCTCTCCACAATGTACTGGTCTATGCTATGTTTTTCTAAAGCATTTGTATCAAAAGATCTACATTCAATGTGTTTAAATGAAATGGACCAGAACACAAGAGAATACATAGCTTGCAGGAAGAACACCTTGCAACAGGAGAAATGAGTGTATACTGTACTTACATAGCTTATCATCTTTATAGACCTAATAGTTACATCAAGTGGGCATCCCATGGCACGTAAATTGGGGAAGATGCCTTCTTCTAATACCCAGAGATTGCCTGAGAAGTCTGCTTGGTCATACACAACCCACCTAGAAAATAACACTCATGACTGAAATTGAAAATTTAAAAGAATACATAATTTAACAATACAAAATGTTGACAAATATTGGGAGCTCCTTATTAATAAATAAATCACGAGTATTTGAGAGGAGTTTTCGGCAGAAAAAAGCTTGATGTGCCTAAGCACAGCGTTTAGCAGCATTTATTGTTTTCAAGTGTACAATGAATATAGTGAAAAATGAGCAAAGGGGAATGTTTTGGAAAAAAAAAAAAAACACTTATAAAATCAAATGCCCATAAATGTTCATAAACACTTGTGCAATACAATCCACTATGACCATTTTTTATGCTGCTTTTTCTGCCAAAGGTTCTGCCATTTTTTTCAGCCATCTAGTGTACACTACATGGACCCTCAGTTGTAAAACTTTAAAGACCAGCAGGAAGTCTTCCATTGTGATCTGTGTTCTAGTGTGAGCCACAATAGCAAACTATTACTATATCATACAGAAAACAAGTAATTTCTCTGTTTGCTAGCCTCCACCAATAAAATTAGCATACAAACGAAGATACTTTTTTTACTTGAGATTATATGGACGTTTAATCAGTAGCACATGATGGGGTTGATTTACTAACAGAATAGAGCATGTATCTGAGTCAACTAGGTAAATAAAAGTGATTTTTTTTATTGCATATGAAGGGATGGCTGAAGTGAAAATTAATTGTGCAAAGTGAAAATTCACAATAAACGAAGTGCAAATGAACTGACTTTAATCATCCAATAACATGTTTTTTTTTTCCTTCATTGAACATGATTTGGTGTTCTTTGTAAATTGCATTTTGACTTAGCATCACCTCATTAACTAAGATAAGTAAAAAAAAAATCACTTTGCAAAATGGAAATGCTCTACTCCTTTAGTAAATCAGGTCTAATGTCTACAACAGACCAACATGAGAACAGGCAGCAAAATTAATAATGTATGTTATAATGGGTACTGCTTATCTGTTTAAAAGTAAATCTTGTGCAGATTGTACATGCATTTATGCATAGGCTAATGGTAGGAATAGTACAGTACATCCACATATATTATCAGCATGTATAGACCACAAATGTTTTTAGGAGATACAGGACAGAAAGAGGGATCATCTATAGGTCCAAACTCATTGCAATAGAAGTATGTTATATTTACTTTGCCTAGCTCATCACTGGTGTATATAAGAATGTAATTGCTGCTTCATGAAAATAAGTAGTACCATTTAACACAATACGCTACCCTTTCTGAGTTCTTAGTTGCTGAGGTTTATTTTATGTCATTGTCTCTTACCTGCCTGAAGAAACTTTGCAAGACATTATTTTAAAAGAGTCTTCTATATTATTCACATCTCCTTCATATATTTGATTTTGACCTTGGAAGTCAGGTTCTGAAAACACTTCAACCTTAACAAAATGAAATGAAAACTAAAATGTCACAAAAAAAAGAATAACTGATCACAATACAAGGTGAAATGTGTTCTTTGTTGTAATTGTTACAGTTTCCACCAACACAAGCCAGTGAGGGCTAGGCATATCAGTGCTAATTAAAAATAATCTTTATTATAAAGGTTATCTTTCTACTATTTACTTACATGGCCTCTACGGTTCACTATTTATAGGAAATATGCCCTAGATTTCATGCCATAATTTTACACAAGAGGCAGAGTTTTTTTATAGTTTAATAAAACTGACACGATTCAACAATACAGAGACATATAATCATTACTACATTGCAGAAAAGTCACCATTCATACCTTAAAATGTCCCCATGGACTTTCAAGAGTTTCCTAATGAAAAAAAAAAAGACAAATATTTACATGGTAACGATAACATTCTTCAAATACAGTATTCAGGGGAAGTTTACTAAACAAATAAATCTGTCTTCATTTAAAGCTTCCAGTCATGTGCTATAGAACTTTACTGGATGTTTAAAATAAATATCTGCAGTCCCAGCATAAAATGTACACCATTACTTAGACAGGCCATAAATGATGCAACCCGTGGTTGAAGGAAAGAAACTGTGCGATTCCACCATCAGTGTTGATAGGGTAATGCATCTTCAGTGTGGGCACCTGGCTGTAACAGCTTGTGGCTTCACAGAAGGGTGCCCACTGCGCATGCACAAGTAGCGCTGCGCTTCCTGAATGGCCCCGTCATCTTCTGGGACCTGTCATGTGTCCCACAAGACTTCGGGGAGGGAGGGTAGGAGGACAACTTCCTACCCTCGGAAGTGGGAGCGAGTACCTGTCAAATTCGGGTACCCATTCCCCCCATTCCCCAAAGGTGCCAATCCTTAATGGGGAGCGGGGGGACCAATTTTTAAAGCGAAACTGCCTCTTTTTCGTGGAACTCCGCTTTAAATCAACTCCACATTTTTTTTTTTTTTAACAGACTGTACAGTAGAACAGAAAACAGGTTCTATGAAGGATTAGATCTGCATCTTTAGGGCAATTGTAACTCGTGTTTTTGCAGTTTGATATAAAACAGCACATGTATAAAGGATCTCTTCTAGGATCCCTGACATACCATAAGAATTGGCTGTACAGAGGAGATAGTGCACTTCTTAGCTCCCCAATCACCAAAATTAGAGTACATTCCTTTCTCCAGTATGTATTGTTCCCCAGTAAAGTCAGGACTTTCATAAGCCACCCATCTGTTTAAAAGTAAAACAGAATTATCAAAATACATCAACAAGTGTATGTAAACAGTCTCCTTATCTAGAAATAGTGCAATCCCAATCTTTAATATATAATGAAATAAATGTGAAATTCCTTCATTAAATACAATTTATTGGCAACATTAAAACAGCAACTATTTTGCTGTAATTCACATAGTCAAATATACTTTTACCAAAAAACATTTCTACCCACAGTGGCAGTGAACCGCTTAGTTGAATACAGACCACCAAATAATTTTCCCACACCAAACACATGAAAAATGTTTTGAATTCCTATATAAAAATTCAACTTCTATCCATTTGTCTTTCTAATCCTCTGCATTTCTATATACAAAATTCCCCTTCTATCCATTTCTCTTTCCAATCCTAACTGCTCTCTAAATAATAACATATAATAATGTAACAAAACTTATCCAGCGTACAGCATTTACAGGATTTTTTTTACTGCCAAGGGCACACAGGAAATTGCAAATCATTGCCATGCTGAATCATGATAAGACACCTTCTGACAAGTCTGTTATCATATCAGGTGTGACCCAGGAATGCATGAAGTATGTCATAACTGAAGAAGCTCAGACATGTCTACTTCATGAACTGGCTTCAACATTTCCAATTCAAATCATTTGCTGTGGTTTGCCAGTAACCAAATTAACATTTGCCATAAAATACTTAAATGGGAGGTGATCAGATATGTTAATCAGGATTTGCTTTATCTATATACAGTATTTGCCAATTCCGGACTATGGAAAGTCTGATTAACATAATGATGAGGTAGTCACTCTGCTTACTCCCCTCTCAGCAAACTCCTAGTGTTAAGACTGACAGCACTTTGCAATGTGAAAGTACCCAGCTGGCTCAGACTGCTGGGATCTCACTCTACCAGCCTCTGTCCTGGTGTGCAGTAAATTACAGGAAATAACTAATAGAAAGACACATCCAATTATTTATACTAGCTGTAGTGAAAGTACATTTAAAGATTTTTTTTAATGCATACATAAGTGGACTCATTTATGAGATTTTTATTTTCTGCTCAGCTTTAGATATAACTTTGCACACAGCCTGCCCCATCAACTATTAGGTCCTAATTACACCACATTTTATGTGTGTTTAATGCTTTCCTTTAGGCAACCTATTCATTTTCAATGAGCTGTCAACTTTCCACCATAACTGAAAAAGTATACCTTTTCTAATTTTGACAACAACTTCACATCTGATCATTGTGGCACAGTATATTGGTATTCTGTGTACGTTCTACATTGTGCATGAATGGGAATGTACCACAGCACACATATACCCCAGTGCAATACTGCACCACAAAGATGTGAATCGAGACCCAAGTATGAACTAACTGTCTGATGAACATGGACTAATCAGATTTAAAAAAAAGTTGCAGTGATTGTGAACAAAGTATTTACAACAAAGTAAAATATATAACATTAGATAAATATTAAAACTGATACGTACACTCCACTTAATATGTTAATAGACTGTATCTTCGCTCCAAAACCTGTCTCTTCCATATTTGCTATGATCCCCAGGACATTGATGTTTGCTGCCTTTTCATCAAAATCTTTCTCACTGTACATTATCATGTGGGGAGTTGAAAAGTCCTACAAAATAAATATGAAAATGGTTTAACAATGTTTTATACAAGTCCACAAGTTGGATAGATGAGCTGACTGGCGCACTAAGGCTGGTCAGTGATGATTTTTTTTTTTTTTGATTGGCAAGTGGGCTGGTTGAAAAAAACAAACGTATTCTGCTATTTACGCAAGCAAGGTGGAGAGAGAGGAACCCTCTCCACTGAGACTTTGTATTTTGATAGTGGGACAGCTGCACCCGCTGATCAAGAAAAAGTTTCCAACATTCCTGTTCAACAGACATCAGTTGTTAGATTATTAGTTATAACTATGGGCAGCACAATGGCTAAATGGTTAGCACTTCAGCCTGGCAGTACTAGGGTCATTGATTTGAATCCCAACCACGGCACCACCTGCCTGGAGTTTGCATATTCTTCCTGTGCCTGCGTGGGTTTCCTCCGGGTACTTTGGTTTCCTCCCACACTTCCAAAGACATGCTGGTAAGTTAATTGGATCCTGTCTAAATTGTCCCTAGTATGTGTATGTATGAATGTGAGTTAGGGACCTTAGATTGTACACCCCTTGAGGGTTAGGGACTGATGTGAATGTACAATATATATGTAGAATGCTGTGTAAATTGATGGCGCTATATAAGTACCTGAAATAAATAATAATAAATAATTAACTAATAATATGTGTGTGGTGCAGGTTAGTTTGCCTTAAATGAGGCTGAAATCTTTTGTGCTGTTCTTATATCTATAACCCCTTTATGACTGCAATGCAAATTTAGTAGTCCAAAAATATAAAATGCCCATGAAAACAATAATTACCCTTGCAGCAGAGAACTAGGAATGTGCAACTGTGTGTCAATCAGAAAAAAATGAGTCATTAAGTTTTTGTCAAGTTCAGTGCACATACCTTTAGTAAAAACTGTAAAAGGTTAAACATGCTACATGAAGAGCAACTTACAGATAAGACCGGACGTAATGACTGCAGTAATCCATTGTAGCCTCCCCAGTGACTCCACTCCTCATAATCACCTTCCTCCAGCAAGTACTGGTGACCTTCAAATCCAGGCTTCTCAAAGCCAACCCACCTACATTTACACAAAATAAATCAGTAAATGTAAGCCTCAGTCTGCACAGGATACACTATCACACTTGTAATCTGCACTGCTGGAAACAACACATATTCAAGTGCAGGTAAAGAGAAGTGCTCCAGATCAAGTAGACTTGTTCTATAACAGAGGCTTATACTTACAATCCACTAAGGACTCTCATAGATCCAACTGTAGAAAAGGGAAGCTCTACATCCTCCCCTGATCCTTCTGGTATTTCAAGGTTCTCAAATGTCATGGTTTCTTTGTCCAGCTCCACTTGTCTTCCTTCAAACATGGATTTCTCAAAAATAATTATCTACCACATGAAAATGAAAATGTTTGGTCCAATGAAAGGAATAGGTGATATATATTTTTGTTATATATGGTGCAATGTACCCCCTTCTATATACAATATAATATAATATAGACAAATCATAGTCTTAGGGTGTCATTTTGATCATAGTGACAGGGACTTGACAGACAGGTTTCAAACTGTTCACACTGCAAGAAATAACATGTTATATTAAAACCTGCTGATAGGAATATTATAATGTTGAAAATACTATATCATGTAATAACATGCTTCTAGACTTTACATTAAAACTGCAAGCAAGTTCTAGGTTTGGATGATAACTGGCAGTCTAAATAGAACAGTGATCATTTGTTAGGAGCTGGATCACTTGCTGGTGGCACTGTGGTTCCAATAGCAGATGGGTACAGTTTCTGTGGCCACCAGCAGGTGTCTCCAGTAGCCAGCTGATCCCATTAATCATTCTCCACCTCATGCTGGCTGCTGGGAAGGTACATAATCCTTTTCCTAACGTATGTCATTGGCTCAGTGTTTTTGTGCGGTCTACCCGGTTATTGGTACACTGCTCTTAACTGTGATCTTGAATTATGCTGTGATTTGGTTCCAGTACCTGCATTTTGTGCCCTTCTACTTCATATCTGCTCCCTTTGTTCCTGATCTCAGTTCCGGCCTGCTTCCCCATCCAGCACCTGTATATCTTCTAACTTTAATCATACACAGTCTGGTTTCAGTTGCCTAAGTACAGCTACACTGAACTGGTCACCCCTGCTGTTGCTGAATACCTGCACTCAGTATCCCTTACACCATTACATGAAGTTATTGATCAGCCCTGCAGAAGACTTGACTAATGGGTGACTGTTTTCTGGTGATGGTGTAAAAAATAAGTTGTTACTACAGTTCACTGAAAGTACTGTACATTAACACAAGCCATTACTTTATGACTGTTAATCCCAAAAGGTATGTTGTTGTAGCATATAAAACAAATATTTTATTTATTTCACTAATCTTTGCCATCAAAGCCTGCAAATGAACACAACATACATTTCTGCATCTATGCATCCAATACTTAACTGGAAAGAAATGTAAAATGTATGTCTTGGTCAGGGGTAGGCAACCTGAGAGCCGCAGGACTACAAGTTCCATCATGCCTCTGCAAGTCATAGCTGTAACTGTCAGTTTTGTAATCTTTGCAATGCCTCATGGGAAATGTAGTTCAACAACAGCTAGAGAGCCGCAGGTAGCCTACCCCTGGTCTAGGCATTAACTAAATTTACCCCCAAACCTCCCTCTCCCCATCCTGTACACAACATGTCTGGGCAATACATCTTTTGATTCATTCTTCTAGCAAGAAACAGTGTATTACTCTCTGTGACATCATCACTTCCAGCAGCTGCTACAAAGGCAGTTTCCACTGACCTAGGTATGCCTCCAGAACTACATCTTCAAAGAATCCTTTAACAAAATGGGTGCTTTATTGAAGCATTAGAGCCTTACATGGAAGAACCAAAAACAATCTGACATGGTACAAAGCAGTGTAAGATACAAGGATCCAAACATGCAGAGTCCAACAGACATAGGAGCATCAATATACATCCAGCTAGGAGTATATATCAGTATAAAAAAATATTGGTAAGGCTCAAAATCAAGCCAGATTAAAAAATTAAAAATGGGGGAGAGGAAAGGGGAGAGAAGAATGAGGGGGGGAGGAGGGATTGAGGGAGGGGGTGGGATAAATAAAAGGAAAAGTGAGGAAGGGGTGGCGGTAGGGAAAACCCAGAGGAAGGGCATCCAACCAATGACCCAACGTATCTCAAAAGGTGTTAAGGAGAGGCTCCAGCACTGCAACCCCCTATTGAGAAGTCCAAGGGAGCCAAACCTTGTCGTATTTCCATGGATACCCATGGTTAATATACGTCATTATATATAGGGGAATCAAAGAATCCCTAACCTATACACATTTGAGCTAAATCACTAAAGTGGATAAAAACTCCCACACAAAAAGTGAGTATTCACATCTAATACCCAATCATTTGAAAAGCAAATTACTGTTCATTTGGTACACCCAATCGTGCAGATTAAATATGTAAACAGGAATTTGCTTTTCACCAAACTGGAGCACACGGACACATACACAAGTAAAACAGGACACAGCACACAGTTAACCCTTTGATCGCCCCTCATGTTAACCCCTTCCTGCCCAGTGCCCTTAGTACAGTGTCAGTGCTTTTTTTTTTTTTTTTAGCAATGATCCCTGTATTGGTGTCACTGGGAATTGTCAGTGACAACAAGCCAGTTCCCCCCAGTGTCAAGATGCCCACCGCAGTCCCACTATAAGTTGCTGATCGCCGCCATTAGTAAAAAAAAAAAAAAAAAAAAAAAAAATTCCAGCATCTATACCATTATTTGTAAACGCTATAACTTTCATGTAAACCAGTTAATTTACACGTATTGACAAAGACATGTAGCAGAATACATTTTGGCCTAAATGTATGCTGAAATTAGATTTTAAAAATGTTACTGGACATGTTTAATAACAAAAAGTAAAAAATATTGTTTTTTTTTCCTCAAAATTGTTTTTTTTTTTATAGCGCAAAAAAAACAAAAAAAAAAAACAAAAAAAACGCACAGGCGATCAAATACCACCAAAGAAAGCTCTATTTGTGGTGGTAAAAAAAAAAAAAAAAAAAAAAAAAGGACGGAAATTTCATTTGGGTGCAGCATTGCATGACCGCACAATTGTCAGTCAAAGTAACGCAGTGCCGTAACACAAAAAATGGCCTGGTCAGGAAGGGGGGGGGGGGGGGGGGGGGGGGTAAACCCTCAGGAGGGCAAGTGGTTAAAGTAAATCAGTGTCAGTGTGTGGGCAAGTTCTTGAAATTCAGGGCAACATTACCGCTTTGCTGAGTAATACGTAACTGTATACATATGAAAAGGGAAAGAAGGGTGGGAAAGACAGGGGTGGAAAATAAGGAATGTTCTGTAATCCAGCAGGCAGCATTGACAATGATGATTGGAATTCAGAGTAAACGTATTGTGCGGTCAACCAAAAAAGGAAGTTAGGAGCAAACTGGATTTCTGGCAGTCAACAGGCATTTTTCTGTACTTGCAATCTTTTTAAATGTATTAAACATGAAATGGAAATACAGAAATGTGTATGTATTGGAAATATCTACCAAATATGTTTCTGTTATTTTGCCCTGACATACATGGTAATGATTATTTTTCATGCCTGCATTTTTGCACACTTTACAGTGACAGTTCTCTCACCTTTGGTTCATAGGGGATTTCCACTTTTCGGCTTCCCTGTAGAAAAAAACAAACCAATTTTTAGTAAATAGCATTCACTACAATAAAGGTGTACCCAGGGCCCGACGCTTCATCAGCTTATGTTTCATATGCAAAAGTTGCACAAAATAAAGTGCAAAGGTAGAGAGACGCCATACTGATTGATGGGTCCTTAACCAATTATATCTTTAAATAGTGGCATTTCTTTAACTGTTACTCTACTGGTTAGGTTAAAAGTGTTTGTCCAAAACTGCATTGGGGAACAGAAGTCTGTAGACCCTCTGTGATGCCCCTTTCCCGAGCCTGTTTTAGGAGGGC